CACTGTATCTTTAGTCCTGTCCTCTGACTGCACATGGATGCTGTAAATGGGCAATTAGACCTCATCCCTTCTCATCCTGAGGGCTGGTGCTTCCCAAAGCTGCTGCCGTAGCTTGATCCTGTCCTCATTGCGTTCGTCTGCAACAGCACTGCAAAGCACAGCAGCAAATAGCCTCATCATCAAACTCAGTGATGGCACCATAGTAACAGAGACGAATAACAGCGATGATGAGAAATGAGATGCCCAGTGAGGTGAGCTGACAGACTAGTTCCATTTGAAAGAACTGGTCCTGAATGTCAACAAAGCAGCTACTGAAGACTTTGTGAGTCATGCACTAATCAGTACTCACGGGGCTCTGAGAAGCTGACCGGTATCCTCAACTGGCCTTAAAAACAAATAAGCAGACACCTGCAACCAGCTACAGCATGACAGAGACTGTTCTCACTGGACTCTTAAAAACAAAAGGTTCTGGGAGAGGCTCTTTTGAGTGATACCACAGAATAAGCACTTTTGGGTCCATAAAGAGCCTTTGAATGGGTTCGTTTAGAGACCCATATCCTACACATTTCTTCTATTTTTTTCCACCTATGGCATTTGTGTAGGTTTATGTACCAAAAACGACCATAATTAATTATTTTTACATGACAATTTTCCAACCTCTCTTCAACCCTTAGAATTGAGCAGGCTATTTTTTGTTACTGTGCCTTTAAGACTGTTATATGTAAATAAGCTTTGTTCTGATTGGCTGCCTCATTCAAAAAACGGTCCAGGCTGAAACATTCTTTAAAGCTTCACTGTAAATGGGTGGGATTAAACTGCTGTAGGCTGAATAAGTGTATATATGTAAATGAGTGAGCTTTAATGACATCACAAATCAATTAATTCAAAACAGGCCATTCATAACTGGGGAGTGAACAGTATATTTTGAAATAATGTTTGCACACTACATTAAACAGTTGTTTCAAAAAAGTGAAGACGTTATGAGTGAGATATACAGATATGAAGAACCTTCTTGAGGTTCAGAGCCTTAACTTCCCAGGCTTATTACGTGGCTTATTATTCAGTAGCTACATGGAAAGCAGTACTGACTGGCTGAATTATTCTTAAGTTACAACAGTGAGGATTATAACCCTGGCTTCTGTCAATTTAAAGGGTGATACAATCTCCCCGTAATGTACAGATTCTGTTCCAGTGAAAGAACTGTATGTCAGCCAAGAACAATTTAGGGACCTTTATTCATACGGCTGCGTTAAAGTGTTCAATACGAGTTGTTTATCTGGAGGATTCTGCAGATGTTGTTGCTCTGCAGGATGCTAATGCATTGTAATGTGCAGTGTCTTCCAGTTTATACTCTATTCAGAAATTCCTGTTGTGCACTTTCACACACTTACCAATTTATGAAGACCACCGACTTTGTAAGTCTACATAGGTGTACAGTTACAGACTGTAGTCCATCTGCATGTGCTGCTCATCTTTACCACATTCAGCAGTGGCTAGTTTCTGACTACAGACATGTTGATGACAAGATACTAACCGGGTGCTGAACTATTCTCCGCATAACAGTGAGACTGACACATGGTAATGTGTGTGGTGCTGTACTGAGTGTATCAGGCAGCGTTGCTAGGATTTTTGCATAAAGTATCTGGCCAAGAGTAGTTCTGTGGTCAGAAACTGATTGAGGAAGGGCTAGGAGATGACTAACACCAGCTGTATACCAGCAAAGAAGTTTATCAGGTCAATATTTTAGCATTTTTGCATCTGAAAGAATGTATTCAAAGTGTTGATGTTCATTTAATAGATTTTGGTATTTTGTTAATGGTTTCAATTAATTTTTAAAAAGGATAATCAATTTTACCACCCAAAAAGATTATTTGGCATCTCCAGTTTGCCTGGCAGCACAACTTTGGACTGGAAACTGGAGTACTCAAAGGAAACTGTGTGAAGAGAACATGCAAACTCCACCTACAAAGGAGCCTGGTTACCCAGCCAGGGAATTGAACCCAGGCCCTTCTTGCTGTGAGGCAACAGCACTACAAACCACACCAATTATTTATTTATTGTTGTTTGTTTTATTTCCTGATGTCAGAGCACTCAATTTTGTAAATTAAAGCACTCTAACCATGACTGAAAAACGTGACATTTTTTATTCAATATTGTAAAAGGGCTACTGATACGGCAGTTGAGGACATCAGAATTTATGGACCAAAGTTTAGCAACTAATATTCTTAACTTTTGCAACATATTTTTATTTTAAATGTTTCAAACATAAGATCATGCCCAACTATTTCATTTAGAATTTAATATAGCTAAATGATGTAATCTGTGCATAGGGTTGGCACCACCTGATGTTTTAGACTTGAAAATGATTTTCATTTCAATGCACTGAAAATGTATTTGCATAAAATCATTTATAAAATGATTTTAGAGGAAAATAATGGACTTCATGTCATTGACCCATACATAGTAATTCAATTTCTACTTGACAGTTTCTATTTAGACTGATGTTGCTCATAGCAAGTGAAGCGTGATGAGTGTACACTGATAACACAAATACAATTCTAAATGACTGATAAAATGTATAGTCCTTTTAATACTACCTGTTCTTATCAGTGTTTAGAGGCAACCATGTTCTGTCAGACTGGGCGTGTATCGCCAAAATCATGTCTGGAGAACAAACATGCTATTGTACACATATATACAGACCTTCAACTATGTTTAGTTTTTTATCTACTAGCTTAGATTCTGAACTATAATATCAGCAGAAGGAAGTGATGCCAGTTCAGCAGAGCCAATACCACTGCCTCCAGCAAGGCTCAGTCCTCAGTCAGCATTTCCTACACTTTACTGCCATGCTTATTTGTAAAGTAAGGATGGACTTAATGAAGAGTTCTGACCCTCTGCGCTCCCTCTGTGTGTTTCAGTGCCTCCCTCTGCAAGGAGAATGACTTAGAAAGAGCCCTCTCATCAGTCTCTGTGAGTCCCAGTACAGTATGTAATTGTGTGCTGAACAACTGGGGTGGATAACTGGCCTCAGCAAATTAGAGTAATTTGTAGTTCAGCTGACAGTCATGCATCAGTGAGTGCTTTTCCCAAAAGAATTCATGTGCACTGTGGAGCCTGGTAAGGGTTTCTTTTTGACTGCGGATTTGTATGCAGTTCTGTACATCTTTATGGAAACATCATTAAATTAAATATGAGTTTTTAGGGCATTTTTCTGAGCTTAACATATTGGAAAAAATAAAACATAAAACTTAAAATGTACCGTAACTTTCGCACAGATAAAATTTTCATTTTATTTTTTCCCAAATATTTAATTAATTAAATAATTAGAGTTGGATATGATATTTATGTTATGCAGTATTCTGTAGTGCACCATTATAACCCTTAGCCTTATTAGTTTGACAGAATTCATGATTTTATGTATTGTTCCTGTTTTTGTTGACTACATTAGCCAGCATGTATTATACAAATGTGTCAAAGTAAATCGTAAAAAACCTGTGCTTCTGTCTTTCTCAGCCAGAGAAAGGATACCAAACTGAAGTGAGGTATCCAGATAGCCAGACGGCTACTGTGCTAATGATAGGTTTTAGCTTGTTGTCCTCTTTATCTGCAAGCCACTCCATTGTAATTGTGATTTGAAGATAGTTATCACAGTTAAATGGCTGTAAAAATATATTCAGCTTCCAAATGTTAGCGAGCTGCCTTCCTTACATGTTCACCATTTCAAAAAAACTGCCCTGAAAAATCCATCTCATAGTTTTTCAAAAGGTCCTCCACCCTTCACGATACATTAGATGATGGTTTTCCAGTCTTTAAACTTTATTCTACTTTACAGATGTACAAAGGGTTAAATTTTAAATTTTGGCTGGAGTGTCCTATTAATATTGTTAGTGTACCGTTCACTCCTGAGCCCATACAGTCCTTATGGGAACTAAGCTGTCTATTTAGAATTAATTGTTTTTGTGATATCATGAAAACCAGTACATTTACATATCACACTGAAGTTATAAGGAGTGTTTCAGTCCAGACTGCCTTTTAAATAGGCCCAATACGTGGCAGTCAATCAGCACAGCAACACAAATAGCCTGTTTAATTCTAACAATAAACAGAAGTTGATCATCTGGAGTAATTTATAGCGGCTTTTGTTATATTACATGAACCTCAAGGGAAAAATTAAATGTAGAAAATTGTAAGAAATATGCAGGGTATGAAATAAAGTTTAAGCAATGTAACATTTATTTTAATTAATATAACACACAAAGCACAGGAAAGATGTTATATGCGCATAATTACACCAGACAAGTGTCCATTTAGTCCTGCAAAATGTGGTATAGGATTCAGAAAGGGGTTGTTGCAGTGGAAGGTAATATTAGAGGGTGTTATTCCATGAGTTGTACCTTGCATCTAATTCACTCAAGTAAGCTCTAATTAACCTACAGTAGGTGTTACCTTTGCGTCATGGAACATTTAACCTACAGTAGGTGTTCCCTTTGCGTCATGGGACATATAAAAGTAGTATTCAGCATCTCAAACAGGTTTTAAGAATTGATTGGAGTAGATGACAACAACAGGAAGGACAAGCACATCTCATTCTCTCTGAGTAAGTATGCATTTAAAAGGCTTCATGATCTGATATGTATTTCAGAATGTTCCACATTTTCAAAGAAAATGTTTTTGTGTGTTCTAGATATTTGTACGTCCTCTATTCTTCAGTGCTTTTAATGCCTGTGCATTACAACTGAAAATGCATTGTTTTAGTTTTTCATTTAAAGTACACAAACAGAAAGTGAAAGACCTGCATAACAGCATCATGAACATCTTGACTTATTCAGTGTGCAGTTATACAGGTTATACGCATTCTACTTGCATACTTGACAGATAAAGCAAAACAATGCATTCCGTTCCATAATTCCAGAGAAGTTATTGCCTTCTTTGACTCTTTTCAGATATTTTCAGAACAGATATTTTCTGCTCATTACTTCAGATTTCAGTCCTCTCAGGTGCTGCAATGTCGTCCTCCATGTCCTCCATGTCTGCCAGCTCTCAGTTGAATAAGACCCTGCGCTCCCACTACCTCAGCCTACCTCAAGGTGGGCTGTGTCAAGTCACTTATGTCTGGATTGATGGATCTGGCGAGGGTCTGCGCAGCAAGACTCGAACCATGGAGTCTGAACCCAGTGATATAGACGGTACTGCAAGAACTTCTGATTAAACTTCCCCTCCCTACTTTTTATGGCTTCAGTGCTCAAATTGCTCATATAGGCCTGCAACGGCATTGTGTGCCATAACTTTTGCACAGGCTACATTTTGTGTTTTATTTTTTTCCAAATATGTGAACTTTAGTAAATGAACAGTAATTGTGCACTTAATGGGAAGATGTGTAGAGGATGTGTAGAGGATGTGCACTCTTAAAAAATCAACAGAACATATACTTTGACTAGGGGTGCCAAAACTTTTGCACTCAATTGTATTTATACAAATTCACTTTTTTTTTAGTCATGTCCCATAGATTTGACAAAAAATTACATTATAACAGCTGTAATATAACTTTGAAATATAACCTTGTTATCAGAGTTTTGTTGATTTTCTAAGTGAAAATAAGTTAAATTTTTATTTTAATGCAAATATTATTTATAATTATTTAGGACAAAATATTGGGGGAAAAATAAAACATAAAATGTGGCCCGTACAAAAGATATAGCGCATTTTTATGTTTTGTTTTTTCCAATATGTTAAACTCAAATGAATGTACACTGAAATGAGCAGAAAAATGCCATATTTAAGTTATTTAAGTGTTTGCTGTAGAGAATGGGGAGGCAAACTGTGGTTTTGGAAGGTCGGGGTCCAGCAAAGATGGGTGATTTTTAGGGTTCTTGTCAGTTGATTCAGGTGTGTTTAAGTAGGAAAATCAACACACTGTGCTGGACTCTGGTCTTCCATGACTGGAGTTCATCACACCTGCTGTAGAGGATGAACTTATTTTTACTTGGAAAATCAACCAAACATGTAACAAGTTTTTTGTAATAGTTTAGTATGTTATGTCGTAGATATTCCAGAGTGGATCTTCGATGGTTCGAGCACGAGCCAGGCAGAGAGTACAAAGAGTGACATGCTCCTGGTTCCGGTGTGCATGTTCAGAGACCCTTTCGCTCTGGACCCCAACAAGTTGGTGCTGTGCGAGGTGCTCAAATATGACCGCAAACCTGCAGGTACGAAGGGCCACATCTGTACTCTGTGATAGTCTAAAATAAAGTGCCTGTTTAACGATTTTCAGCCAAATCTTTATCTGTAGCATCTGTAGCATACAGTCTGTTACAATGGACTCTTTAGAAAAGAGCAAAAAGCAATAATATTATTATGCATAGAAGCCAATGGGCAGCTTCAGCCTCATCCCAAAGGCTTCTACTACAGATATGTCTGAAGTCAGTGGGTTTATGTTCTTTTCTAAATACAGTGAAACACATCAAAATGATTGTCTGCAATATCCAACTGTGTGAGATAGAGATGTGATAGATATATAAGGTTGAAAAATGATGAAATATTACTTCAAACTCTAGAAATTCCACATATCAATTCCTCACTTTCACAAATACATAACTTACATATTAGTTTTCATACACACTTAAAAATGATGGTTCTTCAAGGGTTCTTCAGTAAAGAAAATGGTTCTCTATAGAATCGTAAACACTCAAAGAACTCTATGCATGATTAAAGTTCTTCAGATTGATGGAGAATGTGCTGTAGATGGCTCTATGCAGACCCTTTTTGAAAAGGGTTCTATACAGCACCAAAAAGCGTTCTTCTATTGTTACAATGACAAGCTTGTAATAATAGAAGAACTCTTTTTGGTGCTGTATAGAACCCTTTCATTATGCAAAGAACGCTTTAATCATGCAAAGGGTTCTTTGAGTATTCATGGTTCTATATAGAATACTGTATAGAACCACACTGAATAATTTATATGATCTGCTAAGATTATATAAATTAAGACTCCAGAGGCTGGGGTACTTCTTGAATAATGAGCCTTAATGGGCCCATATCTTATATTTTCCTTGCATTTCATTTTTCCCTTCACTTATAATGTATGTGTGGTTTAATTTACCGAAAACAGTCATAAGTGATTTTTGCATGACCATTTTTCAACCTCTCTTCATTCCTTACAGTTAAACAAGCTGTTTTTGTTACTGTACTTTCAATGAGTGAATGTAATCTCACCTTACAGTTTAAGCATGAATGGGTGGGGCTAAATAGCTGGATAGGTGGATGTATGTAAATGTGTGTTTTCATGACATCATGAAAACTGGGAAGTGAATGGTATGTTTTAAAATTCTTAGTTCAAAATGATAAGGAAAACTTAGTAGGCCTTGATAATGAGCCCTTTAAGGTCAATAGACTGGGGTTTAAGGGGTTGTTGCTTAATCTTGTTACTTATTATGGTCTGCACCTGGATTCTTATTCATACGTAGACACTAATCTCCGACACGCCTGTAATAAGATCATGGAGAAGGTGAAGGAGTTTCGCCCGTGGTTCGGTATGGAGCAGGAATACACTCTGCTGGGTGTGGATGGACATCCATATGCCTGGCCCACAAAGGGCTACCCTAAACCACAGGGTGAGAGACAAAACATGCATATTACAAAAGATCATTTGTATTTTTTTGGAAGAGGCATTGCCATGCCTATTTCTGTTGATACAGATACTGTTCTTTAGACTCTGATAACAGTCAAGTTGAATCAAGTCAATATTTCTTTTTATAGCAATACCCTCTATCACATATCAACTACACTGCACAATGCAATACACACAGTCAGACAATCCAGCATAAGAATAAATAGTCACAGCAACAGTATGTTTACTATTGCATGAACCTCTATTGCACCTTTGTCCTTGTACAAAATAATTCCTATTGCACTTCTCAGCATAATTCTTAAAAAAAAAGAAGATTCCTCATAACACAGTGTGGCATAGTGCTTGTCTTCAACAGCAGCTACTCAGCGTTAACAGTTTACATATACCTCCATTTTTACATTATTATTGCCCTTAAAAAGTGTAGAAATGCTACAGAACGTCAAAATTTCTGACAACGGTAACAATATTCTAGTGTGTTTAGTGGAAAAGCTAAGACAAGTATATAGTGTATAAAATACTGCCATAGCTTTAAACATTGAAGCTTCACCCTAATGTTTTATATGTTCCATATTTTCTCTCTGTCTGTAACTTCAGGTCCGTATTACTGTGGTGTGGGAGCAGACAGAGCCTTCGGCAGAGACATAGTGGACTGTCACTATAAAGCCTGCTTGTACGCAGGGATCAAAATCAGTGGCTCCAATGCAGAGGTCATGCCCTCTCAGGTAAGCTCCTAGTCTTGTCTATGTATAACGAACAAATACATACGTATACAGCACTGTGCAAAAGTCTTAGGTGTCTCAGAAAATGATATGTACAGTCATTTATCTGGACATTAAGCATTCATTTGTTAAAGTAAAAAAATACTAGAAGAAATACGAATGCATTGTAATTCTACGTGTCAATGTGTTTGCTTAAACAGAATGTCCAGTATTTACATTTACCATACAATACATAGGTTTTCTAATGCTTAATTAAATTAAATCAGTAGTGCTGCTAATGTAATTAAACAAATTCATATCATGACTGGAGTGCAGCGAGTCAGCCACTTCTATTCTTGTAACCAACATATTAATTACTTAAAAAAATTGTAAGTGGAGTTGTAAACTTACAGGTATGATAGATGGTCCACATAGTGCAAATGTGTACACTGTATCCACTCCTCTTGGGGAAAGAGGTCCTTGATGGTACCACCTCAGTCACCGTGATTGTAACCAGTAAGGTATTTTTGTCTGTGTGTTCTCCGATGCCTAAGACTTTGCACAGTACTATAAATATTTGGCAAGGATGTGGATTCCAAATCAAAGCGGAGTTTGGTTGGATGCTGTTCATGGAATAATCTTTGACTGTTATGTTGCTTGGGAATCACAGTCTGCTTTTGTAACTATATTGCTTAGAGGAAGAATTGTGTCTAGTGCTTATTACTATTTAAAGCAATAAGACACCAGAGGCTATGCATTACTGTTATTTTATTGCATGTACTTGGTGTTGTTAGGCATGGATCAACACCTAAAATTCCCTTGCCTGTAGTAATATCACTGAATGCACTGGTGCTTTTTTTAAATGGTGGCAATAAACAACACAAATCCAAAAGAGGACCATTCTACAAAAAGTAAAAACAAGTAGATGTGCTCTCACAGTAAAAAAGAAAAAAATAATTAAAAAAAAACAATTAGATATTCAGACCTTAGATATTTACAAGGATTATATTATGTATTTAAGCCCAAGGCTTTAATTGAGATAGTAATAATCTAAATGTACACAAAATCATCATTTATAAGGCACTTTCTGTTGGGAGGTGACTGCCCCAAACTCTAACCCCTAAATTTACACCTGTGTTAATGTTACTTGTAAGATTTAGATTTATCAGGAGTTTTTTTTTTAAACAAAAAATTTGTTTAAAAGATACTGTCCCATGTTTTCGTGTCACTGCCGAAACACAAAGAGTTTTAGTCCATGGGCAGAGCCTTATAGGGCCCCACCCCTGCATTTCAGAGCTGGAAGTGAGACTGCATCCCTGTCCTTCTTGGCCACATGGTGAGCAGTTAGATCACATTGTTTTGAAGTAAGTGTGTCCCAAAGTCTGAAAATGAGTTTCTAGTAGTAAGAATTGTCACTACTGAAACATATTTTCTGCAATTAAATAAATATTTTTGTGTTTTAATAAAAATATTATGATGTTATGTATGTACAACTGTTCAAAGTTTGCCAGTCATGTGCTGGCTAGTGTTTTTGAGTTCAAAATTAGCCAAAATGGTCACTAATGAAGCAGTCACTACCAAGACATTTGGTTTTTGGATGCATTATTACTGTAGTGGTAATGACAAAATGAAATGTTCAGTTGTGAGGCAACCACAGGTGTAGATATAGAGCATTTTAAAATAGCTGTGAACATGATTCAGACAATCATTTTAGGACAGAATCATCCATTTTACAAAAGAAGATATGTATTTTTTATATTGTCGTCATTGCAAACCATGTTCTCTTATGGATTATTACTTTATTAGATTGTAAAACAACTATAAAAACTACAAACATAAAAGATTCGTTCGCTTCAAAGGTTTTGTTTTTTGTCCGAATGGTTCTCAGCCCATCCAGTTCCACTCTGGGCTACAGCAGAAGCACATTTGGTACTGTATAAAAAGCTAAATATGAATGCAGGACGCACTATGTGAGGTTCAATGACACACATCACTGAACATCTCCGTGCTCTGTTTGCTGAATGCTGAATGCTCTCTGAGCTCTGTACGGTTGGTTAAGTGTGTTTGGCTGTGTGTGTGCACAGTGGGAGTTCCAGGTGGGTCCGTGTGAGGGGATTGAGATAGCAGACCACCTGTGGATGGCACGCTTCCTGCTGCACAGAGTGTGCGAGGACTTTGGTGTGATCGCCACATTGGACCCCAAACCTGTGGCAGGGAACTGGAATGGGGCAGGCTGCCACACTAACTTCAGCACCGAGACCACCCGAGCCGAGGGGGGGCTTGAGTGAGTACTGCTGAAGCTTTCTACATGAATACAATATATGACCTCTACACATTTCAGATTATTTTTATATTACACCACCGTTCAAAAGTTTGGAATCACTTGTCATCTTAGTGGTTGTTGTTATTTTAATCAATAACATATGCAATGTCAATTTAAATATTATAAACCAGACACCTGGAGGTACTTGTAGATGTTTGATTCAATTTTTCAAGTTTTTTTTGGAAGAACCTATTAAATGATCAATAATGTACAATAATTATCTATTTACAAAAATTCTTGTCTGCCTCAAGATTTTCCACATACTCTTCAAACGCTTAATTCTCATCATAATCCATCTTTGATCTTATTATGGAATTATCTACAGCTCTGTTCATCATTGTACAGCTAACATTTCACAGATTTACAGCTTCCTGATGTCACAGTTTCCACAGTCATCTCCGCTACTCTCCCTCCCTGCCCCAGCTTTACCACCTGTTCCACATAGCTCCGCCCCTTTGTTATCTAATTCACTAGCATCTTGTGTGTAACCCCACCTAGCAATTGTTCTCAGGTGTTTCTTGTTTCTTCACCCTGCCTCCTTACCTCCCTCATCTACATCTTTCTCACACCTACTAATGAACTGAAACTTGTAAAGTCTGGGACCGTTTTATACATGTATTGGCAACAAAATTGGTTTTGTATACTGTGCAAAAGTCACCCTTCATTCATTCAATTTCAAGCCAAAGTGGTCATTAAATACAAGTTATTCATTTTTTAGCATTAGGAAAAAGCAACGAAACATACATTTAACAGTAAGTGATGCAGATGCTTCAATAACCGAATATAATTTTGAAATTTTCCAGTATTTACTTTGGCCACCTTTTGCCTTTATCACAGCTTATGAGACTTGCTTTCAGTTTTTCAAAGAAATCTGCAGTGGCATTTTTCCACATCTCGAAAGCTCAGTCTTTGAAATTGGTTGCATTTTCTGCTTCTCGTGACCCAAGAAATCTCAAACACATTCAGTGTTTCTGAGTAAAGGCTTCTTGACAGCTACACATTCTTTCAGACAGCTTTCAGACGGTTGTCATTCAGAAGACAGTTGTCTTCTCACAGTGAAAGGATGGACAGAAACACCTGTGGATTTTTTCAGATCTGAAGCAGGAGTGGAGCTTGATTTTCTCCTCTATGTTCTGCTTATCTGATGGTGACAGTTTTGGTGGTCTACCAGGTCTTGCATGGTTGTTTTTAAACCTTTATTTTCTCTAAAGGTTTAAATAATTTTCTGAACTCTTTTGGAAATTCCAGTTTTGTCATTTATTTTCCTTTGACTTTCCCTTCCCTACACAAGTGGCTTATCTAATATCTAAGCTCCTCATTTAAAATTCTTGAAAAATGAATAACGTTACTGGCTTAATTGTCGTTGTGACTGGAAAAGAAATAAATGAAGGGTGTTATTTGAACTTTGCACAGTGCTGTAATTGAAAACCTAACTTGTTGGGTAGTTGATTCCAAACATTTGAACAGTGATTTCTTTTGAACAACAGTGTTTATTATATATATATATATATATATATATATATATATAAATATATATATACACAACTGCTGATCTGGGATTTTCATGCACAACAATCTCTAGAATTTACTTAGAATGGAGTTTACTTGGAATGCAATAAAGAAAAAAACATCCAGTGAGTAGCAGTTTTGCGGACAGAAAGCCTCGTCAGCACAGGGCACAGGCTCACCAGAACTGGACAGCTGAAAACTGGGACAAACATACCTGGTCTGATGAATCTAGATTTCAGCTGAGACACACAGATGGTAGAGTCCGAATTTGGTGCCAACAGCATGAATCCATGGACCCCACCTGCCTTGTGTCAACAGTACAGGCTTGTGGAGGTTGTGAAAGTGGGGAATGTTTTCTTGGCACATTTTAGGCCTGTTAATATCTATAAATCATCACTTAAATGCCACAGCCTATTTGAGTACTGTCGCTGACCATGTGTGTCCATCTTCTCATGACTTCTTCCAGCAAGATAAAGCACCATGTCGCAAAGCATAAGTCGTCTCAAATTAATTTATCGAACATGACACTGTTCTTCATTGGCCTACCCAGTCATTGGATCTGAATCCATCTTTGGGATGTGGTAGAATGGGAGATTCACAGCATGACAATGCACCTGAAAGATTTGCAGGAATTGTATGATGCAATCATGCCAACATGGACCAGAATCTCAAAGGAATGTTTCCAACATCTTGTAGAATCCATACTACGAAGGACTGTGAGAGCAAAGAGAGGGACGAGTCCTAAAATGCCTGGCCAGTGTACATACTGTTGCATACAAATACACATCAAATCATAACTCCATTATAAATCAATGGTAAAACCTGTTTGAGATTCTGCATATTGAGCAATAGTGCACATTATACGTATTTCTTGTTTTTTTCTGTTTCTCCCTGATTCCTCACCACCTCAGTCACATTGAGATGGCCATAGAAAAACTACGCCCGCATCATGCTGAACACATACGGGTCTCTGACCCTCACGGTGGACAGGACAACCAGCGACGACTCACAGGCCTCCATGAGACCTCCAAGATCCATGAGTTTTCAGCAGGAGTGTCTAACCGAACGGCCAGCATCCGCATCCCCCTTCAGGTGGACCTGGACAAGCGTGGCTATTTAGAGGACCGCCGCCCGGCCGCCAACTGTGACCCATATGCTGTGACTGCAGCTATAGCTCGGACCTGCCTACTGAAGGAAGAGGAGGAGGCAGATATTCTGAGTGATTCGGAAATTAATGAACTGGAATAAAATGTTTCAGCTGAAATAGCATACATGCACAACAGTTACATTCCTGATCATGATGTTTACCTGTTAGATTTTACCTCTGTGGTCTGTGTCTATTCTCTGCTTCTTTTGTTTGACAATAAAGAAGCACAGAATCAGAATATAACAAAAAATTGCGATTTCAGCAATGATCATTAATGGCACTGTTATTGTAGTCTTCATTTTTCTGTCTGTATTTATATTTCAGGATTTTTATATTGAGTGACATAAGCTGTCTTTAATATTTAGATTTTGCAGTAAAGAAAAACACAAAACATAGTTTATATTAATAGTATATTTTATTATACATGCACTGAGCCCATTGTTTGGCTACACCTACCTTATATCTACACTCACTGTCCATTTTATCAGCTCCACTTGCCATATTGGTACACTTTGCGGTTCTACAATTACAGACTGTAGTCCATCTGTTCCTCTTCATACTTTGTTAGCCCCCTTTTACCCTGTTCTTCCATGGTCAGGACCACCACAGAGCAGGTATTATTTTGGTGGTGGATTATTCTCAGCACTGCAGTAACACTGATGTGGTGGTGGTGGTGTGTTAGTGTGTGTTGTGCTGGTACGAGTGGATCAGACACAGCAGTGCTGCTGGAGTTTTTAAAGACTGTCCACTCACTGTCCACTATTAGACACACCTACCTTGTTGGTCCACCTTGTGGATGTAAAGTCAGAGACGATAGCTCATCTGCTGCTGCACAGTTTGTGTTGGTCATCCTCTAGTCCTTCATCAGTGGTCACAGGACGCTGCCCACAGGACGCGGTTGGCTGGATATTTTTGGTTGGTGGACTATTCTCACTGAGGTGTTTAAAAACTCCAGCAGCACTGCTGTGTCTGATCCACTCAGACCAGCGCAACACACACTAACACACCACCACCACGTCAATGTTACTGCAGTGATAAGAATGATTCACCACTCAAATAATACCTGCTCTGTGGTGGTCCTGTGGGGGTCCTGATCATTTATGAATGGGGTAAAGGTGGGATAGCAAAGAATGTAGAGAAACAGGTGGACTACAGTCTGTAATTGTGGAACTACAAATTGCCCCTATATGGTAAATGGAGCTGATAAAATGGACAATGAGTTTAAATTAAAGGTAGGTGTACCTAATAAAGTGCTCAGTTAGTGTATATGCAATAACCTTAGATGAATATCAAGCTAATCTTCAGGTGAAGATTAAATTAATAAATGTATATTATATATTGTTATGTATTTATTTATAAAATTAAGATATTGCAACAGTTTAAAAACATAATATGCTTGTGCTTGTCTGAAGTTTTAAGGGCCCATGTTCTATAGATTCATGTATTTTATTGTATTTTTCCCAGAGGCCCCTTTTGTGTGTTTTTATGTACTAAAAACAGCCATAATTCATTTTTACATGACAATTTTCCAACCTCTCTTCACCTCTTTGAATTAAACAGGCTGTGATTGTTACTGTTCCTTTAAGACTGATCTATGTAAATGGGCTCTGTTCTGTTTAACTCCTCCTGTTGTATCTCATTCAAAAAGCAGTCCTCAAAAAGCAGTAAGCACTCCTTATAACTTCAGTATTATTGGGTGAAGCTAAAGTCCAGTAAGGTGAAGAGGAGGATACAGGTAAATGAGTTGGCTTTTGTGGCATCACAAAAACAGTAAATTCTAGTTTCCACGGTTTCCTTATTTTGAAACTTTGAAACTTGGCACATTTTGAAACTTTAACATGTTTACATTCTACATCAAACTCTTTTATTTTTTAAATTAGTGGGAATTTTTGTTTTTGCATGGTATGGGTTCTTTAAGGCACAAAGTCAGATACAGTGGAATTCTTATCACAGCCAGAGTGCTCAAGCAGTTAGTGTAGAGTCCACCAGGGGGCAGCAAATGCAAGCACTGAATTTGGTTCATCAGTAGTATGGTAAAAAAAAATCTATAAAAAATATTTCTATGTATGACATCTAATTCTTATTTTTATCATTTAGCAATTAAATAGGTGAATCAGGTCAAAACATGTAAACATTGTGTGTATATACGTGCATGAATGTTGTAGCTTACTTCACATCCATTACAGGCCCAAAGTATGGAGACAGGCAGTGACTATTTTAATGTTTCTAGCATATTTTACATTTAAAACAATTTGCTGAAAACCAACACAATATTTTTATTGACATCGAGGTCACCCAAGGAGTTTTCCCCAAATATTCCTTTAGTTTGCAGTGATGTAGGCCCATTCTTACTCTTTACAAACCCATAATTTAACACTCCTGATTCAATTCAGCAAGCCTTCAGGAGCCTCTGAATGATCTGATTAGAGCTGCAATAAAACTCTTCAGGAGAATCAGCAAAGCTAAACTAATGAAGAATCAGTTGGACGCTATTGCTACTGACATTTAGTCAAACACTTCTGTTCTACTAAACATTGCAATTCATTAGGCTTTGAAAGCATAAACGTTTTCATCATTATTTTTACAAAGTTAGTGCAACTTCCAAACCTTTGGCCTGTAGAGTATTTCAGTCACATTTCAGCCACTGTATAATCAGCAATATTTATTTAGTCGCAACCCTATAGCATTTCAAGGTTATATTACAGCTGTTATAGTGTGGCTTTTTATCAAAGCTCTGGCACATAACTGCAAAAATCTAACTGTAACCATATAATCACAGTCATATGCAAAGTTTGGGTGCCCTGTTCTGTTGATTTTCTAAGACCACACATCCTCTACACTTCTGCACATTAATATGCAATTGCTGTTGCTGGGGGGGGGACGGCCTTAAGCCTTTGTGTACAGCTGTATAACTGTACAAACACAAAGGCATTTCTCTGTCATAACTGCCGCAGACTGGCACTGTATAAGCATTCCTCTTGTACAGCCAGGAATGCTAAACAGGCCCTGAGTGAGTCATCTTATTGTAATGTGTGCTTTTCCTACGCATAGACTTACTGTATTTATGAACGTCTAGCCATGTCTAATGAGTTTTGTAACCTTAGGATGCTTTTTTACCATGAGCCTCTTACATAACATATTGGTTTATCTGATTTTGTAGTTAATGTCTGGATGAGGATAAAAACCTGCTGGCTCTCTGGGTGACAGATCAAATCAACCATTGACCTCGGGTAACATCGACCCCTCTCTCTCTCTCACTTTCTCTCTATCTCTCTCTGTCTGAATGTTTGGTAGAGCAAGTACTCGTCTTTCAGCACTGTAATGCCTGTGGATGACATGAATAAAATGTCATCTTGTGTCACATTCTGTCCTCCGTTAGTTCCTAACTGAATGCAGAGGGCCAGGCCTTCTGGAGACAAACTGCTGCTGTGAGCGTGCCCAGGGGAAAGGGAGGGTGTTAGTGTTTTCAGGAAAGAGGGGTGGTGGAGGTTTGAACTCTATTGTGTATTAAGTTAATGTATTTTCCCATAACTGCAGCATGAGCTTGCTCTGCTGTCTCACAGTGTATTGCTCAATCACTGTATCCCCTAACAGATAACATGAAGAGTAAAAATAAGAGAGGAGCAGTACTACATGCTGTAGACCTCTGAAGTGGTATCGTCATTGTCACGCCCTTATTAGGAACTCTGGGTCCAGGCTGGTTTCCTCTATGAAAAAGGTAATGGTGTTTTTGAAAACCACAGGAGTCTCATGTCCTCAGATAACCCCCAGTTTCTGCATAGTCTTTAGTTCTCTGGCTAACCACCAAGCACTAAGAGCTGCTATAAGTGGTAGCAACACCAATAAAGTGCATTTCTGTTCCAAAATGCTTTCTTGGCATCAACTTCCTTGCCAGCATCCCAACGTTAATGATTTTTATTTTATCTATAAGAACAATTTTATGCAATACACTTTTAAATAATCTAAGCTAGAGAATGAAAGGTATGTTTAGATGTGATATTCAATATTTAAAGTATACTGAAAGTAGCAAAAAGTCATTCAACGACTGTAATTGTTAAATTATGATGATTTTTTTCAAGTTATCAGCCTCAAGCTGTGATTGTCACTTATCATTATTATTATTAGTAGTAGTAGTAGTAGTATTAGTATTCATAGAATTATTTGTAACTACATTAACCTATTATCATTAACAACCTACTCCAGAGCGTCTTACGTGACTGATTATGGGAAACAAAATATTTAGTATAATTTATAAATATAAAATAACGAGTTGTTAAAGGTTCTAACAGTGAAAAGTAATTATTTTTAAGGCTCTTTATCCCAATATGAATATCCCGAGCACCTATGTCGTATAACTTAAGAACAAACAAAAGAAAGAAACAAACAAACAAATAAACACCCCTCTGCTATCCCCCCACCCCCTAAACCATGTTCCTAGCTGTGATAGTGAAGCGCCTCCCTGATTGGACGCTGAGCCGATGACGTCAGTGCGCCGTGCCCGCGCCGCTGAGTGCTTGTGAGCGCAGCTCGCGCTACCGCTCCCGATCCCGGAGCGATGGGAAAACTGCAGGAGTTCAGCATCGCCTTCACCAACAACAAAGTGGTGTACAGCCCCGGAGAGTCCATCTCAGGAAGCGTGAGAGTGACCACCGCGAGCGCGCTACAGTTCAAGGGTGAGACACGAGCGGCACGCGCCGAACAGCTGGAGCTTCACTCTCTAATAACGCGCGAGGCTGAGGTTGGCTTCTCTGCCGAATTTCCCCGTTCCACCTTAAATGGTGCAGGCGCCAGAATGTAACTGCTGCACCATTTAAGGTAGAACGGAGAAATTCGAACAAGACGCCAAGTTAAGCCTCGTTAATAACGCTTATCCGAGCTGTGTGTGTGTGTGTGTGTGTGTGTGTGTGTGTGTGTGTGTGTGTGTGTGTGTCTGGTCCCTTCCCTCATCCGTTGTATCATTACTGCGAGTGAAAATGCTGAGGTAGTGAAGTAGTGTGAGCGGTTGTGCTGCCCCGTTCATTTATGTACTGTAGATCTCTACCATGACAGACACACTCAGCTCTGAGGGACAATGGACAGTGTATTGAAGACTGTACTACAGCTGGACCCTGTCAGTCGTTTTGGTGCATGTTAAAGCCCTCCACCCCATTCTGTGCGTTTACTGTCACGCCTTCTACTTGGTTTCACATGATTCTGATGCACTGATGCATAAAAACATGTCGGGACGTTTCAACAGGTGGGGCATCTGGAACTGGCACTCTGTTGGGGGGTTGCTGTGGTGTTTTTTTATCAGCTGGTTTGCATAAACTCTCTCAAAAGCGTGGCTCCATGAAGCAGGTCCGAATGACAAATTGGTTTTGTATCAAAATCGCGATTTGAAAAAATTCAAGAGCTGCACTTTTATTCATATGCCTACATTACAAACTGCCTTCCTGTGTAGTTGGACCAATCAGAAGCCATGTGCTTTGACATCACAAGTAAAACTAATCCTTGAGTGTTCAAGTCAAAAGCCAGAAAAAGTGGATATGCTAGTTAGGGCTAAATGATTATTTACATTCTACACTGTTATTGCCTTAACAGCTGTTAAGTAGGAAAATATTAGCCTAATAACATAAAGCTTGTGAACCCGCAGTCTGACACACTACATTCGGTATTCAGGCCGAAAACCCGGAAAAATGGATGTGCTGGGCTTTGTAAGGCACAAAAAAGCCTGGAGTTTAATAGCAATTTAATATTGCTCAGACAAATCACAATTTCAAAAAAACAAACACAAAAAGTTTTGTTTTTTTTCTAACTTTGATTTTTCTACGTCGTCTGAGCACAGCAGCTGCCCTTCACACTGTGCGAGAGTTTCTTGACGAATGGACCAGTAGAAATGGTCCAAATTGACTTGAAATGAAACCTCTTTACATTAACTTGCCTTATCAGTCAGGAATATTCATGCTTTTTCCTTCAAAGTAACTGTTTTTGAGATATAACCCTTGTTTTTTAGTACATACTGCACTGCACTCATTTCAGTTAAACAGGACTATTAATGCTCTGTTCGTAATGAAACGATGTAATTTATCACAATGCAATGAATATTGTCATATTGTCCACCCCTACAAGCTGCAAAGAAAAAAGTTTGGATTTTTTTTTTTTTACTTTAAAAAGTTTCTTCAGACCATTGAACATGCTGAAAATAAACCCTGTTTGGCACTTCTCTTTTAAAGAGTGGACACCCAGATGAGAGGGGCTGAAACAGCTATCTCAACCTAACACGTTTCACTAAGCAGACAATGAGATAAGGAAGAAGAGATGTTTTTTTTAAACAGTGACAGTATTTTACCCGAGTTATTCAGCCCTGATGTTGATCTTCTTTGCCAAAAAATGCTTCTATTATGATAGAAAATAAGCACAATGTAAACCGCAGTCACAATATTGGTCAGAAAAATCACAATTAGACATTTTCCCTAAATTGTTCTGTCCAAGGCATGAAGTAGTTAATCCTTCTAATTACACTTTCTGTCTAAATATGCTGAATTGAATTTTGTGCAGAAAAATATGGTATATTGTCTGAAATTGCCCATGTAGTGCCATCATTCACAAGTAACAAGTAAAAAAACCAAAGCAAAAAACAACCTACTAGACGATATGGCAAAAACATAACATTGCGATATTTCTCATGACACACGGTATGATCAGAATACTTTTTTCACGGTACATTTTTCTGAGGTTTGATATGTTGGAACTGACAAAAAAGTGCCACATTTTAAAAATATCACCAAAAAACTATGAGGGCAATAAGTTTTATTTAACATTCATTTCACATACTGCACTGCACTAAATGCAACTAACAGAACTAATTATGCTCTCTTTGTAATGAAACATGCAGTTTTGTCAGTGTTCTTTAAGACGATTTCCACAAGATGCTCTGAAAAGTGTGGTGTAATTTATCACAATAACAATAAATATCACCATACTCTGTGTCTGTACAGACTACAGAGAACAAAATGAGAATACAGTCTTCAAAATAAAGGTTCTAAATGGTTCTTGACTTGGTTATATGGCTCTATAGGAAAAAAAAATAGTTGGTATAGAACCTTTACATTATTTGGTGGTTCTTTTACCTTTTACCTCTAAACCATTGGACCTGTTGAAAGCGAGTCTTCAAAGAACCCCTTTTCGGCACTTCTTTTTTAAAGAGAGTACACCTGGATGTGAGGGCTGAAACAGGCTATCTCAACCTAACACATTTCACCGAGCAGACACTGAGATAAGGAAGTAGGTTAGCAAAGGTAGTGGAGCCTTTCAGGCCACAGAGAATGCATTGTGTTGTGTCTAAATGGACCAAATTACATGAGAAGTTTAGAGAAAGCGGGAAGTCACAGTGTAGGCTATTGATCCAGGTGAACTAGAGAATGGATCCAAATAAAACTACCTGAGTGCTCTCATACATGTGTGCAACTCATTGGGTATAATCTGATTATTTTTATGGTGTATGTAATGCATAAATGCACACCTTATCTACCGCACCCCTTTGCCCCAGATGATAGCTTTGTGAATCATCTTGCCTGTGAAATGGTACCACCCTGAGATCATTCAGGCATGTTTCTTCCCTCTTTTGTTGTTCCTGTCCGCTGGGGGAGAGTTCAGCTTGTGTTTAGAGGAGACATTATGTTGTCATATCTCAATACGTTTCGTTTTTCATTTCATTTTTACCCACTGGACCAATGGAAATGATCTAAAATTACTCTGAATAAATGCTTATTATGTTAAAGGTCCCAGATTTGTAAATTTATATGAATTTACACACATACACACACACACACACACACACACACACATATATATATATGTATATATATATATATATGTGTATATATTGCTGCTGTCGGAACAAATCCTCTCCATTTTTCAGTTTTGGTATAATTTGAAATTGCCTGTTGCCCTTTACATTGTCTGTAAATATCATGAATGGACCAAAAGAAACAGCCTAGAATGACTTGGAAATAAAGTCTTGTTCCACTGGCTTTAAAAGTAAAGTATGTTTTTTCCTTCCCCTGTTAAGTTACCATTTTGGAGATAGGTTTTGTTCCGACAGTAGCAATATATATGTGTGTGTGTGTGTGTATGGGTTTGGTGTCATATATTAGCATTACTACAGTTTCAAAATGTTCACTCCCCAGTCCATATATGAAAAAAATTAGCTGTAAAAATTTTTTCAAAATGTGAATTTATCAATTTTGTGACATCACCAAAACCAGTACATTTACATATATCTGCCTTTTCAATCTACAGCAGTTTAGCCTGACCATTCACATTGAAGTAATAAATAGTATTTCAGCCCGACTGCTTTTTGAATATTGCACAATTAGGGCTGGGCGATAAAACAATAACGATAATTATCACGATATATAACTTTTCCTCGATAGAGCGATAAGACAGGTTCGATAAATGTTCGATATAATACACCATTCTCACACTTCCACGTTCAGCGAAAGCCTTGGTGGCGTTTTCCACTGCAAGGAAAGCGACACTACTCTGCTGTCACCAGGAGAGGGCGCACTTCCGAATTTTTTGACTTGATTAGAGAGGGAGGGGGCCACGAGTAAAAAAAAGGGTCGCCAAATATACTTTAGCAATGGCTGAAACGCGGAGTTATACAGTCCCTGTTTGAGTGGAGCGACCGGCGATCTGTTCTCCTGTGACCAAGTGTGAGTGACGAGGTCAGTGGCGTAACTGTACTGTCCTACAGCGAACTCACCTCTTTCCGTGCCTCCTAACAACTTTAGCGGTGTTAAATCACGTCTACAGCGCCGTGTTACAGCGCCAAACCGTCATATTTTAGTATTGGTGCATTCTCGAGCAACGAGAGTGAAAGAAAGAAGTGGGTTCATGTTTGAAAGTAAACTGAGGAAGCTGTGTGGCATTGGAGAGCGGGAGAGCGCTATCTTTCCGGGCTAGCTGTTTTTAGCTGCTGGCTAACTTGAAGCAGCGCTCCGGCACAACACAGTGAATTGATGATACGGTAGATCAAACAAGACACAAAATCACCGCTTTCAGTTTAAACATGCCTAAAAGGAGGACTCTGTGATTGGTGTGAGAGATTCACACTGCAGATAATGCTTTTACACAGCGAACGTCAGATATACTGCGGTTCACCCCTTAAACTACTACGATAGTATAGAGAAACCCAGTCGTCGCTAGCTGGTGTCTGAATACTGTGATCTGCTCTGACATGGATGTGGTAGGAGTGACAGCAGTGACCTCCCGAACCGAGTTGACGTCGTTGAGAAACTAAAGAGTTTAGCACTGTTGTTGGCCACTTGTTTAGCATTTGTAACGGGGTAGCCGAGCGCTAAAAATAATCTGTTTTCTTTCTTAAATCATGACTATTACAAAAATTGCAGCTGTGCTTTTCCAGCTGATAAAAACAGCTCAGAAACTTTCTCCCACTCTTCCATGACAGATTAGTGAAATATTCCACTGTTTGCAGAGTGTTTGTCATGATCGGACCATAAGTGATAGTTTAAAACCACAATTAACCACCCAGGAGCAAAATCAGCCTTCAAACGTGAAAGAAATCATGATTTGACATTTATCGCGATATGTATCGATATCGAACGATATGAATTTTGTTTATCATGATAACGTTTTTGGCCATATCGCCCAGCTCTATGCACAATACTGG